ATCAGCTGGGCAAACATCTCAACCTCAGGAGCTCCAGGTAGCAGCGGACGTGTAGTCGTTTCACCACCGGGGGGAGTCTAACCAATCCTGATGTGGCCACCAGATCATCCCAATAAGCCTTGAAGAAGGGGGGGGGGCTCGGAAGTAACGAGCCAAGACAACAGGAGATACTAATAGTGTAGTACTTTATTATCCACAAGGGAAAAAGTAGACAAATGACTGAAAGAAACTACTCACATGTACAATGAGCAGCTAGTAGCAGGGATTCCAAAATGGCCACCGGCCGTCCACAGGGGCCATGCAGTGTGACGTCACAGGGTATAGGGCACCTCCCTAACGCGTTTCGTGCGATGGCACGTTATCAAAGGGATATATGTTTGACTTAAAGTCACAGCAACCTCTGAATAGTTCATGCACTACTTTGGTCTGACCTTCATGCAACTTGAGGGCCATAGACTTCAATGTTAACCCTCAAAAGTTACTAAAACAGTCATACCTGAATGTTTTACATGCAACAGTGGGTTTGACTTTGCAGAGGACAAGTAGTCACATCCAAGTCGCACCCATCCAAAGTTGCATCAAAGTTGCACTCCAAAGTCTTGCGACTTCGTACCAGTGTGAATGCAGCCTTTAGGCAAAGTGTGGTTTGCAAATGTTTTTGTTTAAACCTTTATTAACCGCTAGCTTATCAGCTCCAATTAACTCTTTTTAACTTTTTTTTTGTTTTGTTCATTAATATTTTTACACATTTCACATAGATTCAAGTCTTAAATTTAAAAAGTCATAAGTAATTAAAAAGTTATCGCTGAATAAAACCAGTGGATAGCAGAAATGTAAAAATTGCTCTGGCCCATAGGGAGTGAACAGGTGAGAGGCAAAATGGTTAAAGTAGGGATTCTTAGTTCTATACATTTCTTAGCTGGCAGAATTTTCCTTTTTAGTTCCTGGATCCACATCAATAAAACACGCATGTGCGCACAAACACAGAAGTTGCTGTTAAATTCTGTCCGATCACTCTCAAACTGCTGTCAATTCACCCCATCACTTTTAGGGTCTAATGAACCTTTCTTAAACCAAAATGTCACATTATAAACTCGTTCATTGTGACCTGTGTAAATCTGGCTGTTTTGTGAAATGTCTCCTATTTGCCCATTAGACTTGAATTCCTGTGGAATGGCAGAGAACGCACTGTGGCTGCTGAGGAAACCCGGCTGCCAGAAGAAATCCGCATGACATGCAACCAGTTTGTACAATACCACAAAGACCTGTGTGTTAGGAATATCGTGAAGGAAAGAAGGTATTTCCCCTGTCAGTGAGCTGGAGAGCTATACTTGTAACATGTCACTTTGTTATGTAAAAACTATTACTAACACCAGTCACTGTTCTACTGTGTCATTCACTGTATTTAGTTTTCTGTAAAATGAAGCCTGCCTAATCTGAAAGAATGTTCAAGAATTACACATTGATGATTGTTCTCAAAATTTTAGTCCACAGTGACATTAAACGGAACCTGTGATAGCAAAACGAGAATTGCCATGCTGACCTTGTTTGTAAAAGTGCGGATTTTGGGACTTTTGTCTCGTTCTTGGCTTCTCTACCTAGTGAGTCAGAGACCTGAAACAAGAATGTATCCAATGACATGCAAAAAAGTCTTAACTCCCAATCTGCATAGTGTTTCAGGTCTTTGACAGACTAGGAAGAAAATTCAGTATCAGAGTAAAAGCTGGGGCCTGCACCTTTTTAAAAAGAAAGTCGCAGATAATTTCCCTCTTTCTTCCTCCTAGGTTCACCTTTAAAATGTATTCAGCGTTCTATACCAAATAGTAATAATGCCTCAGGTGGACAAAAATGTTTTACTTTATAATTTTTGCTAATGCATGTTGCTTCTCATCCCTTTTTCTTGCCATTTCTTCCTTGCTTCTTTCATTTCTGTTTGTGGTTTGCTTTTCCTGGCTGTAGCAGTTGGCATTTTCATTTGCACCATAAAGCTTGTTTTATTTGTCCACACAGCCATTTCACATTAAAGCCCACGAGTGTAACGACCGGATAATCTAGTGAAATAATTTAGAAGTCAAAGCTTTGTGTCAGTAAGGGTTTGTAAGATTTATTTTATTTATTTATTACAGGTACTTGTATAGCGCCATCAATTTACGCAGCGCTTTACATATATACTGTATATTCACATCAGTCCCTAACCCTCAAGGGGCGTACAATTTAAGGTCCCGAACTCACATTCATACATACTAGGGCCAATTAACCTACCAGCATGTCTTTTGGAGTGTGGGAGGAAAGCCCATGCAGGCACAGGGAGAACATGCAAACTCCAGGCAGGTGGTGCCGTGGTTGGGATTCGAACCAACGACCCTAGTACTGCCAGGTGGAAGTGCTAACCACTTAGCCACTGTGCTGACCAACTCCTGTATGATCAAAATTCATCCGGGCCACTTTCTTCTCGCATATTATTTTGCTTGTGGGAGCATTCACTGTCTAAATGTGTGAACATAACAATTATATTAGGTTTAACTACCGAGTTTTGCTTTAAAGGGAGTGTGTGTGTATGTATGTATGCATATATATATATGTATATATACAGGTGAAACTCAAAAAATTAGAATATCGTGCAAAAGTTCATTTATTTCAGTAATGCAACTTAAAAGATGAAACTAATATATGAGACTCATTACATGCAAAACAAGATAGTTCAAGCCGTGATTTGTCATAATTGTGGTGATTATGGATTCCAGCTCATGAAAACTCCAAATCCACAATCTCCAAAAATTAGAATATTGTGAAAAGGTGTAATATTCTCGGCTCAAAGTGTCCACTCTAATCAGCTATTTAAGCCATAACACCTGCAAAGGGTTCCTGAGCCTTTAAATGGTTTCTCAGTCTGGTTCAGTAGGAATCACAATCATGGGAAAGACTGCTGACCTGACAGTTGTGCAGAAAACCATGATTGACACCCTCCATAAGGAGGGAAAGCCTCAAAAGGTAATTGCAAAAGAAATTGGATGTTCCCAAAGTGCTGTATCAAAGCACATTAATAGAAAGTTATGTGGAAGGGAAAAGTGTGGAAGAAAAAGGTGCACAAGCAGCAGGGATGACCGCAGCCTAGAGAGGATTGTCAGGAAAAGTCCATTCAAAAGCGTTGGGGACTTTCACAATGAGTGGACTGAGGCTGGAGTCAGTGCATCAAGAGCCACCACGCACAGACGGATTCTGGACATGGGCTTCAAATGTCGTATTCCTCTTGTCAAGCCGCTCCTGAACAACAAACAGAAGTGTCTTACCTGGGCTAAAGAAAAACAGACCTGGTCTGTTGCTCAGTGGTCCAAAGTCCTCTTTTCTGATGACAGCAACTTTTGCATCTCATTTGGAAACCAAGGACCCAAAGTATGGAGGAAGAATGGAGAGGCACACACTGCAAGATGCTTGAAGTCCAGTGTGAAGTTTCCACAGTCTGTGTTGATTTGGGGAGCCATGTCATCTGCTGGTGTTGGTCCACTGTGCTTCATTAAGTCCAGGGTCAACGCTGCCGTCTACCAGGAGATTTTTGAGCACTTCATGCTTCCTTCCACAGACGAGCTTTATGGGGATGCTGACTTCATTTTCCAGCAGGACTTGGCACCTGCCCACACTGCCAAAAGCACAAAAACCTGGTTCAATGACCTTGGGATTACTGCGCTTGATTGGCCAGCAAACTCGCCTGACCTGAACCCCATAGAGAATCTATGGGGCATTGCCAAGAGAAAGATGAGAGACATGAGACCGAACAATGCAGAAGAGCTGAAGGCCGCTATTGAAGCATCCTGGTCTTCCATAACACCTCAGCAGTGCCACAGGCTGATAGCTTCTATGCCACGCTGCATTGAGGCAGTAATTGCTGCAAAAGGGGCCCAAACCAAGTACTGAGTACATATGCATGCTTATACTTTTCAGAGGTCCGATATTGTTCTATGTACAATCCTTGTTTTATTGATTGCATGTAATATTTTAATTTTCTGACATTGTGGATTTGGGGTTTTCATGAGCTGTAAGCCATGTACTATCTTGCTTTGCATGTAATGAGTATCTCATATATTAGTTTCACCTTCTAAGTTGCATTACTGAAATAAATGAACTTTTGCACGATATTCTAATTTTTTGAGTTTCACCTGTATATTCATTCCATACATTACATCCAGGACTTTTTTTTTTCTAGTAGAGTAAAGATATAATATTACAACTGAATATTTGACATTTTCCACTTACAAGCAGTAGGTGGTGCAGTTTAATCCATTCTTCAGTACCTCTGCTGCTAAACTTTTTTACTATTTTTCTGTGAATGGGCTGTTGACAACACTCAGAGATGAAACGGAGGACAGATACCCCTTTTCAAGTTCCTAAAGCTCAGCATAAGGTTTTAGTCAGAGAATGCCAGAGAAATGGAGAGCCATTGCTGGGCTTTTTTGTACATGACATAGAGCAGCCTCCCCTCTTCTAGGAGGGCTTCATGGGATTTTGGAGTATGTTGGGCTGTGATTGGCCCTGTCTGTATCATGTGACTGCCTTGACCCGTCACAACTAACAACATATTTGTATTCAATGGATGGTATGACAGGAAGCCATCCATTGTATACAATTGACATGTGAGCTGCTGTGATTGGTCACATGACACTGGCAATGGGCCGGTGTAGTGATATGTCATTGGCTGTGTCCTGTGGGGCACAGCCAGTGACAGATTCCACGGCCATGTGAGCGGTTCATTTTGACAGGACGTCATATGACGCCCAGTCACAACGGCAAGTGTCCGTCCGGCTTTCAATCTGCTGTAGAGCAGGCGGAAAGGTGTTAACAATAGTGGTTAAAGTGGAATTCCATTACTCGGAAGACTGTCCCCTGCCTCCTCTTAACAACTATGCTTACTAACCTATGTAAAAAAAGATGTATATACTTGCCTATTTTCAGCATGTTCTGGTCTGGTCACTTGATCTCCCCTGTGTCAGCCAGGGTGGCTACAGGGGAGAGGAGATAGTGCTCCGACAATGGCTAGTAATCCTGTAGCAGGGATATCACTCATATGTGTCAATGGCCCATCCTTCGTTGGTGCTCTCTCTTCTTACCTGGAGCCATGCTGGCTGATAATGGGGAGCCAGATCGTGTGACCGGACTGGAGCATCCTGAAAATAGACAAATCTATACATCTTTCTTACATAGGTTAGTTAGCATAGGTATTAGAAGTGGGGAAGAGAAGTTTAAAGCTAGTTAGGGTTAAGCTTGAATTCCACTTTAATTTTCTTGCAGTGGAATTACGTATGTGCCAATTCTCAAGTGTCAGAAACCCTTCTGGTTTATGTATCTGTGTGCACCAATAAACTACATTGTGTAGAGCAGAACAGGGAAGGCTTCCACCTCATCATTAGTCTTTTTTTTATACCTTGCTTCATTCATTTCACAAATTCTATATCAATATGCATTCGTTACAAATTGTAGATTATTCCATTTGGCTTCTACAGCTTGTGCACAAATGTATTTTATTTTTATGCCCTTCCCCCTGCCCCTTACTGGCTTCTAATGTTCTATGACCCTGTACTGATCTAACCTGCCTATATCATGCTGTCCTATTTTCCCTCTTATTTTTCTTTACCTGCTGCCAATTACAGCCCTAGCACAAGAGTTACAGAGCATATGGGTGAATCATTCCTTTGACACACAGGTGTGGTGCCAGGAACTCCGCTATAATCTTCTGGGGCTCGGATTTGGTGAGCTGGCTTGTTGAAGTGGGACTGGCTTCTGATCGTGGGGAAGCAGTTAAGTATGGAGAGAGACTGCTGAAAGGAGGCATCATTCAGCATATCACAGACGAATATGAATTTCGAGATGAAAACCTCTACTACCGCATGCTGAAAACAAGGCGTGTCCCACACCAGAGAAGATGACACATCTGGGATTTTGTGTACTTGTTTCCATTGTCTTGAATATTGTGTGTCTTAATACTTGTCTCTAACCTTTCTGAAGACACCATTAACATAAGTACTCTGAAGAGTTTGTGTTTGTAGCTATGCAAAAACCATCAGGGCTGGCTATGTGTAAAGCCTTGGTAAACCCGGCACTGGTAAAACTATTGTGATAGCTGTGCGAAAGGCTTCTGTAGTAAAGACCACAGAACTAGCTTGAAGCCCAGGGGTTAGTTTTGCCATTTTAACTATGTGTGCTAACAATAGTCCCTTTATCACTGTGTGATAGAGCACACAGCACATTTTTCCTCTAGGTGAGCAGTCACTACCTGGAGGTTTTATCCTTGTGTCTTTTTTAGTGTGCTTCTAGGCTAAAGGTAATCCAAACTCTCCATTTACTCATATGGTGGAACCCAAGTGGTGGGGTTGGTCTGCTGCATTCACAATTGGCAATGGCATTGACCATGGCTCTCAAGCCATTAGTTTAGCACTGGAGCTTTTGGTTTGTTCTCTATCACAGTAATCCATCTAACACTGAATTGTAATTGTTGAATGGATTATGCCTTTAAAGCCCAATCAAACCCTTGCAATTAGTTATTTACTAAGGGTTTTGTTTGGACTTTAACTGCATAAAAAATGCCATTTGTGATGAGTAACAAAGCCACTGCTAGATATGTACATATACAGAACCCAAATGTCAACATTTGATTAAATGTAAGGGTAAAATTTGCATTATATATCTGGTTACCTCTGCCATATGGTGACGATTCTCCAACCTTTAGTGTGCACATTTTACCTGAGTAGTATAGTGGACTTTTCATGTGTGTTGAGTCACATAAATGACTTGTTCACTCAGCTGCCTGTAACCTTGTCTTTTTTTTCTTTGAAATAAGAGGAGAGGGCTGCAGAATGGATGGGACAGCACCAGGATCTGCTTTGCTCTATAGGGTATCATGTCTTCTGTCCTCACTGAGCCTAGATTACTCTGGCATGGGAAAGGGAACAAAATAGTGCACTGTGTTGTGCTTGTCCAAACTACTACTGAGAACTAGGCTGGGCACCACTGCTCACATGTATTTGCATTACATTGTTTACAGATATCCAGCAGTTCTGTTTTCCTATTCTTTCTGCATCTCTTTTCCAGTTTAAATAAAATGTGATGAGGTCATGAGGACACTTAGCATTATGGAACCTTTTTACAGATGTACCGGCATCTTGTCATTGGCTGCACCATGCCTTTCTCTACACAAAGCAGGGATGTGGGCAGTGATCTTCAGTTTGGTTCGTCTTACAGATTTTACTGCAGAATGGACAGACATTTGAATTCAGAGGCTCAATTTACTAAGAAACATTGTGTAAAATCTAATTGCTTGGTGAATTGAGCCTCATGTTTCACTGCAGCAAACTATACATGTACTGTGTGCCATCCATAAGATATATTAACATATTTTTTTATCTTTGCACTGCTCTCAGATGACTTGGTCCCTGTTTATAATATCGAATCAATTGCAGTATCTGGTGACATGGTAGTAATTACTCCACAGTATGCCTCCATTTTATATTTCATAAAATGCAAAGTGTGATTAGGGGCCAGCAGTGTCCTTAAGACACCGCAGAAAACTGTTCAGGATAGGACAGGTTTCCTCTTCCAGACACTTTTTTATGTTATTGATCCAAAATGAACGGGACTTTGCTTCAGAGTTCTAAAGCAAACAATTTTGTAAAGCACCACTCTGTGCTTGATAAAAATGCTATAATTTTTTTTATTTTAAAGAAAATGTATGACCATAGTTAAGCCATAATGATGATTTATAAATAAGCCCCTCAGACGTGTAACCAGCAGCAAACACTGCACATCTTTCACCTCTGGCTGCCATATATTCTTTTAAACATGTTGCTGTTGGTTATGTGGGGTGGAGCTGTTTGGCCATACAAGGCAGCTTTATGTAAATTCTTACGTTGCATGGCCTAATGGTGTCTTTTGGGATTTAACTGCTTATTTTAAGAGAATCTATATATTTTTTAATTCATGGTTTTTAGATATATTGTGATTTGCAAGTTTAACAATGTGCAATGTTTTAAAAACCTATGTTTAGTTTGTAAACACATGAGGAAGTCATATTGTTTTATTAACAACTGCACTTTACTGTTACTCTCTGATAGGTCTGTTAGTTTGCTTAAACTAACTGAAAACAGGCTAATTGCTCTTGTCTCAGCAGTTTTGTAGCAGGGTTGCTGCCTGCTATACAGAAATCTACTGGAAGAAGAATCTACAAATGTGATGCAGTATCATGTGTGGAGTTTATTGAGAGGATGGCTTTATCCTTTGATAAATGTTTAATATTTTCCTGTACTAAAGTTGGAGCTCTTTTTTTTTTTAGTGTCAACAAAAATTATAAATGAATGCTGTAGCACATAAATCTTTGCATTTAAGTGGCCATAAACATGAGATGACTGTTTGCAGATGTGATATGACCGTCTCCTTTTTGTTGTCACTTGCAGACACCCTTTAGGGCCAGGGTCAATAGGCTTGAGACTTGTCAATGGCGTCAGTGTAAGACTCTTCTGAGATCATTCAGAATTCATTGACATGTGCATTTGACTTGATTCGAGTGTATTTTGCATTCCCTTAGACTGGTATGGGAATGCAAACCTATTTGATGAAAAAAAAAAAAAATCCATTGACACAAGCGCTTTGTTGACCAGCCTGGACAGGCTTGAAAAATATCCAATTGCTTTTTGTTTTCCTCGAAGGTAAAGCATTGTTGGCTAACCTCTCTTTGTGTACTTGTGATACCTACACAGTGCTGCTATAAAATAGTTTGTATATACTCTGAATATATTGTATTAACAAATGTAATATATTATGTTTTGTATACAAATGTTTAAAAGCGAACATATTTTAAACAATGATTATAATAGCGATGTTAACAATTCCCTTAGGCCTCATTCTAGTGGGTGTACCTATGGATATGACTGTGTAAAGGGTTGTCTATGCCTGCATGTGAGCACAGGTTTTCCGTGACTCTGCATGCAGGTAGTCTCATTCATGTCTGTTGGGCCGCAGCAGTGCAATGGACAAAGTTGCTGGTCAGTTTGACAGCTGCGCAGATGTGTGTTCCGGTACACACACCATCTGTGTTTGGGGACATGAACCCACATTACATGGCTATCAATTCGGGGACAAATGTTGCGTCCCAATAGATATGAATAGGACTACCTGCAAAAGAGGCATGGAGCATCTGTGCATCCCATGGAGGCAGAAACAGTCCTTTACATGAAAGTACACTTAAAGTGGTTGTAAACCCTTACATATACCCAGTGAAGTGACTGGCCTCAGGTGATACACGGAGATGAAACACATCCTCCTCCATTAGTTGTACATGTTTATCTGTAGTAATCTCTACATCTGTTAAAAGTTCTAAATTTATAAGGCTTGTCTGAGCTTTAGGGGGTGGAGAGCTTAACTTACACATTGCAGAGCTCAGTGAGAAGAGCACACATCCCCCTTCACATAGTTTACAGAAACAGAGCTAAGGCTGTCAATTAGCTGGAGCTCCCTCCCCTATCACCATTTTCCTCTTGGTGTCAGGAAAACTTGTCAGCTGTGGCTCATGCAGATAGCAGAGAAATGAGGCAGCAGACAGAAATTCCGCATAGTGCTCTTAATTGAGACAAGTACACACAATAGAAGGATATGTTCATATTTCATGTCTGAGGTTTACAACCACTTTACATATACCTGTGTGAACGAGGCCTTAATGTGTGACTCTCATTGGGGACAGCTAGCTTGTGGGCTGACCAAATATTCACAAGTTGTCCACTGATCTAGCATCTAGTACTATTAAATAAAATGAGATATTCCCACACTATTCAAAGTGAGCTCAGCATTAACAAAATCAGATGAAGGAACATTGTACCTAAATAGTGTAATCCCTGCAAATTCATTTTTCAAGAAAACTGCTTGATGCTTAGAGGCACAGCCACCATAGTAGCCATTTGAGACAAGATCATGTTGCATTGTGATATGCTGACTGGCTGTAAGAGTCTCAGCTTCAGGGGATTACATTGAACATATCTTCCTGACAACCAGATGTATGTACATGCAACTACTGGTGTCTCGTATTAGGTTTTTACCCCCATAACATAATTAGTTTGCATCTCTTAGATTAAAGTGAACATGTCACCCATCTGAAATGTTTAAGAAT